TCAGCCATTCTTACAAACTTGTTATACTTTAAGTTACTTTTTCTGTTTTAAATACTAATTAAAATTATAAAGCTCACTTACTAAACATCACCAGCAGTATTTGAAGCAGTTCCGCTTCCTCCTCACAAAGTAATTTAACGTTATTTGTTAATTTCTATCTAGCTAATTGAATTTCTACAGTAACTCAATGATATAATTATTTCATTTGTTTATCTTACTAAGAAGAATTGCTTCAAATGTGTTGGACTTTTTAAACTATGCGAAGAATAAAACAGTTATTGAAAAAACGTTTTTTTTTAATCATCTGGTTGAATCTCGTTGGACTTTTCAGGGCCGGAGGCTGCATTAATTTAGCGACCTTTTTTATGTGCCACAGCGTAAAAATGACTAAAAAAAATACCGAATAATCCTCTTGACTATTTCCCCTAACATTGTGAGTTCCGGGGCTATAGCCCTACTATCCCCACCCCACCTCCTCAATCCAGCACTGGAAATAAGACGTAAGTATATAAATAAAAATTATATATACTCTTTGATAAATCGAAGAACATTTTTTTCTTTATAGTTGTTACTTTATATAAAAAATGTCGCTTAATTTTATAAAAAAAGTTATAAAAGAGCAACGTTTCAAAAATAGTTGCTCTAATATATTTATTTTGCTTAAAGTTTTTTCGCGTTAAAAGCTATTTTTCTTTTTTTAACTGTCTCTCATCGGTCTAGTTAATCTCAATGCGCTTTTTTGTTTGTTTTTGAAATGTTCTCAAAACGACTAAAAAATCTGTCCGGTTTTTCGCAACTAAATATAATTTCCGTGGTCAATTATCGAGTGCGATCGCACCCGCTTCCCGACCAAGCCTGATATATATATATATATATATATATATATATATATATATATATATATATATATATATATATATATATATATATATATATATATATATATATATATATATATATATATATATATAAAGTTTAAAATTTTAAAGTTTAAAATTTTTAATAAATATCTTTGTTTAAATCTATGCAACATTTTGAATCAAAATTATACTTAAGGCTTTACCTAGTTAATTAAAATTTAGGGGTTTTAAACACCTATAACATTAAAAAAAAAAAGTTTTACCCAAAACCTTTCTTTAGAAAAACTGATAAATATATATTAGACCCACTTTACTCCATAGACCAACATTACCCCCATTCTAATGCAAAAACTATTTTCCATATAGCTTGTAATGAATTTATTTATTTTATAAAGTTAAGAAATCACTAATATCTGCAAGAAATTTAAAAACCAGAATAAAATTTGCAAAAGATTATATTAGTTGGTTAATTAATGACCGGTCAAAAGTCCTTTTTTCTGATGAATCAAAGTTTATGCTATTTAGTAGTGATGGAATTAGGTAGGTTAAGCGCCCAGTAGGAGACAGATTTAATCCAAAAGACCAGTTATTCACTAGGGTGCATCAAACTCCCTCATGGATTAAATTTTTAATGGCTCTATAATAAACATGGTCCTTTGGTGTTAAGTAGTTACTGTGTGAAATATTATAAAACTAAAATTATTCCTAATGGGTCCACATGAAGCACAAAATATAGCTTACTACAACATAACGATGTTGTTGTAAAATTGTATGTCTAACTTAGCATGAATGAAGAGTTTTATAATTCATATCTTCTTACTCACTGTAGAGTGTTTTAAACTTTATTTGTGTTTTCAGGAGTTAGCAACCACTGTACCAAAAGCATGGCACAATCTGCTGTGAAGTTTACGCCGAAAAAGACTCATCAGAAAAGTTCAGTGTTTGAAATAGGAGCCGGTATTACAGAAGTAGATGCAGAGATGACTGATTGCAAATTACTGACAAGTGAACAAGTGCTGCGATGTTACATGTTTCATCAACAAGCTGGCCTGTTTAAAAAGCGATCAAAACGTAACAGTGCCTTTCTTCAAGAAAGCAAATATTCCAATAATAACACAAAAGAAGGCCTGTGAAAAAATCATTGCACTGTCTGAAAAGAATGCAAAACTTTGTTAACTTCCTCTAAATCGTTGTTCATCATTGTCAGCACTTGCCAAGCTTGAACGAATGTCAGAAGAACACAGTTTGATATTTCCACTGTGGCTAAAAGATGCTGAATAAGTCATGAAGAATGACGACGATGTAAACTTTTTAGAGTCCATGAAGACAGACGCACAGCATCATGTGGCTCCCATGACAAGAAATTGGCATTACAGTTACAGCGCAAGAAGGCACAACTGCAAAAGCAAGAAGAAAGGAGACTAAGGGCAGAAGTAGCAGCTACTGCTACAGTATCTGCTATTTGTACAGTAAAGCTCTCTAGCAACGAGGAAAGTAGTGATGAAAGTAAATGTGATATCAATAGTCCTTTCAAGACTTCTGAAAAGAAACTGGTAAAAACGCACTATTGAACCACTCGCACTGGAACAGCAGCTTATATACCTTGTAACATTCTCAAATCTCCAAGAATTGTGGCTTTGACAACAAGAATGAAAATTTCTCCTGCACAACAGTCTGCACTCACTGAGGCCATTATTAAAGAGTCAGGAGGTGATGCTAGCAAAATTGCTGTATCATATGCTACAGCAGACAGGTCTAGGCATATGATGAATGAAGAAATTGCTTCTGAAGTTCGGAAGTCATGGGCTCCAGTAAAGTATGTTTCTCTGCACTGGGATTCTGAACTAATGAAGAGCCAGGCAACACATGACTTACAGGAAAGACTTGTGGTCGCTGTTGGTGACAACACCAATCTCAAAATTCTTGGCGTACCTGCTTATCAACCAGGAACAGATCAACAATCTGGAGATATCATATCACTATTGCTACAATGCAGTTGTTGCAGTCATGGAACTGTGCTGAGTCAATATTAAACATTACTTTTGATATTACAGCCAGCAATACCGGACATGTCACATGTGTGGCCTAGCAACAAAAAATTGGCAATGCATTACTCTGGTCTGCATGCCGTCATCACATTGGAGAAATTATTTTAACACACGTTTTTACCGACTTGCACATAGAAGCATCAAAATCACCAGAAGTTACTGTATTTAACACATTTAAGAAGCATTTTGACACTGGTGAATTTCAATTTAGATAAAACCAATCATTTTCAGCCAATCATTACCATATTGGTAAATATGGTAATGATTGGCTGAAATTTTTTTCAGCCAATCATTACCATATTACCAATAATTTAGATCTTCCTATATTTATGAATGGTGATTTACTTGATGAGTCATCTACCCTTCATCTTCTAGTATAGATAATCCTCAGAATGTTCTCATTAAATTAGTAGATTCAATGCCTCATTGCTGTGAAGCTGTTTTAAAAGCAAATAGATATGCCACCAAATACTAAGTGTTTTAAAACTATTTTATTGCTAAGAAATTGTTATTTTGTGAATTTTAGTAAAAGAAAATTAAAAATATGAAAAAGTAAAAAAAAAGTTGAAATAATATAGAGCACATTTGGTAAAACTGAAATCACTGCCACAACAAGACTTGGAGATTTGCTTACTGCAGATTCATGGTACATTTTCATCCCTTTAGAGATGAACATGGATTTTCTTAACAATAACACTAAAAACTGTCCAGTTAACCATTCATTTCTGTCATAAAAGATTAAGATGATTTCTGTCAATGTTATCAATGACAGTGCAGAACGCAGCGTGAAACTAAGTGCAGACTTTTTAGATGCAACAAAGACCATTTTTTTGCATTGATAAAAGAATGTTGGTATGATAATCCTCAGAATGTTCTCATTAAATTAGTAGATTCAATGCCTCATTGCTGTGAAGCTGTTTTAAAAGCAAATAGATATGCCACCAAATACTAAGTGTTTTAAAACTATTTTATTGCTAAGAAATTGTTATTTTGTGAATTTTAGTAAAAGAAAATTAAAAATATGAAAAAGTAAAAAAAAAGTTGAAATAATATAGAGCACATTTAACAATAACATTAAAAACTGTCCAGTTGACCATTTATTTCTGTCATAAAAGATTAAGATGATTTCTGTCAATGTTATCAATGACAGTGCAGAACGTTTTTCAAAACATTACTAATTCTTTCTACTACTGCCAGTGTACATTAATCTTTTTTACATTAGAAAGTTACATTAACTACATTATTTTTGTAAAAAATAATTGTGAAAAGAAATTTTTCAAAATATGGATAAATTTGGTTGGGTTGTTTGTTTTTATGATTTTTTAAAAGGTATTTTGATGTCTACTTTTCATGTTTAATTAAATCTGATTCTTTATTTTCATCTAAATGGGTGATTATTTCAAATTTTTCTTACAAACATAGTATATATTTTTTGGAAACATTATTATAGCATAAGTAGTTTTTAGAACCCATTTAATTCAAAATTAATATTTTGTGAGGAAACTGCATTTTTAAATAATATTTTTTGATAAGCATTTTCCATTCCATTCATTGCGCAATTTATATTTTGCAATTACAATTATTAGTATTTTTTTCTTTCAGAAGTTATTATTCTAATTTTTATTTTTCTATTTTCTATCTATAATAGTGCGCAAAAGTTTAGAAACACCAACTTTTTTTCAGTTTTTACTGCATAACTTTTCACTAACAGAAGTTTTTATTATTTAATGCAGTTTTGTGACTTTATAATTCTTTCTGTATTATTTATAATTCTTTCTGTATTTCTATTAAAAATTTTGTGTAGTTTAATAGATGGTCTAGTTTATCTAAGTGTTTTTTTAATGTTATCCTACACTAATTTTTTTAAATTTCGGTTTTGCACTTCTATATTTAAATTTAGGTCACATGATCATAGTGATTCTAGAAAACATTTTGAATTAGATGGACAATGGGTTGAAACAACAAATAAGAAAGCTCAAATAAAGGTAATATAAAACATAAATTCAATTCAAATGTACATATGTATATGTATATATATATATATATATATATATATATATATATATATATATATATATATATATATATATATATATATATATATATATATAAATTAGGGCATCCAATATTGGTATACTGAAAACTGGTATACCGGCCATTTTTTCAATACTGGTACCAAGCTTTCAATACTGGTATATACTGGTATTTCAGTTATTTTTCTCATTGGACAGAAATTGTTTAATGAGACTTTAGACTGTGCGAGTTTAGACACAATTATTTTTAGAGAGTTATTAGCACTAAAATATCAAATAAAATTTCAACTTATTTTTAGCCAAATGTTTTAACTAAAATGACAGCCACCGATGTCTTGCCATTCAGGGTTTTTATAATGTCCAATGAGCTAAAAAACTTGCTGATTGCTTGAGGTTTTGACGTGTCAAAAGCATCTGAATCCTTTCGCCAAACAGTTATGAAACTCCATAATAAAAGATTTATCTAAACTTCAACAGGAAGGAAACCGATTTAGTCTAACATTTGACGAGTGGACTTCTGTAAAAAATAGACGTTATTTGAATATTAATGTTCATTCTCAAAACAGATTTTGAATTTGGGTTTAGCACAAGTTAATGGACATTTCCCAGCAGAAATGTGGGTTAAGTTAACAACACATTGACAACCTACTGAAAGAACACAACTTTTGAAAAAAAATTGAATTGAACAAAAACTGATTGCAATATCGTATGTATTACCATGGATGGTGCATCAGTTATGAAGAAAGTTGACAATTAATATCCATCAACCAACAACTAACCCATGGAATCCAATTGGCTGTGGTTAACGTCTTGTATAAAACAACAGTCATGGGCTCGACAGATGATTATTTTAAATCTAATGAAGATAGTGCTGTTGAGATTTCAGATGAATATAATGAAGACCATTTAGACGAATTAAGGATTTTTCAGAGCTCACCAAATTCAAATGAACTTGCAAATAATTTGACTCTATTGATAAGCAAAGTTAGAAAGGTTGTAAAGCTGTTCAGACGATCACTAACAAAAAATGAAATTATTTAAGTTTATGTAAAACTTGAACACAGTAAAGAACTGTCAGTAATATTAAAAAATAAAACCAGATGAAACAGCTTTTTATGCTAAAGCGTTTTTATAAATTAAAAATTCCATTCAAAAATCCTTGATTGATTTAAATTTAGCTATTAACTTTACAGAATCTGAATTAGATTTGATATTATCAACAGTTTTTATGTTGCTATCAGTGAAATTGGCTGTAGAGGCTTTATGTTGGAGAGATGCTAATCTTCTATCAGCTAATACTACCTTGGCATTTATGCTTCAAAGTTTGGACGAAGGATCATTAAATAACAATACAAAGGCCTCTTTATTTAAAAGAATAAAAGAAAGGCACACAAATTTATCTCATACAATTTCTTTATAAAGGTTATCAAACCCAAAATAATTTTGGTTTAGATATCATATTTGATTGGCTAACTAAAACTGCTTATATATATGTATATATATATATATATATATATATATATATATATATATATATATATATATATATATATATATATATACAATAACACGTTACAATACAATAATATTGTATTGTAATACCAGAGACGTAATTAAAACATTATTTATGATACTGTGTTGCTGTGAATAAAAACAATTACTATAACTATTGTATTGTTTTTTTTCTAACAATACATTGAAGTTCTAAAACTATTGTTTTGTATTATAATTGTATTGCTGTGATAATAACAAATTGTAATTGAATTGAAATGTAATTGAATTGAATAGTATTACTGTGATGTAAAACAATTGAAATAATGTATTACTTATACATTATTTGAAAGTCCAATAGCTATTGTATTTTATAGTATTTAGATTCTTTTTTTCACGCATTTATTATTATTTGAGCACTAGAAAATTCAGAGGTGCCTGTGACTCTTGTTTTTAGCAGTCATTTATATATATAAATTTTAATTGTTTTGAGAAGTGAAGTGAAGCCAGGAAAGCCAACGAAATATATGTATTACGTATACTTAATAAATATTAAGTTCAGGGGCGCTCGTGGCACCCATATCTAGCAACCATTTACATATATAAATTTTATTAATTTTGAGTTCAATAATATAACTGTTTAAGTAATCATTTATTTAGAATTAACATTAATAATATTCATTCAAAATCATACAAATATATAATTTATCATATGCTTGTAACTAAATAATTATTTACTTTATGAAGTGAAATTTTTTTATTATTTCATAATTTTGTAGTAACTGATATTGACATTTTAACCCGATGATGACGTCTAAACTAATTGATTAACTACATAAAGCGCGTGAAAATAATTTTTTTATTTCAATATAATTAACTGCTAATGTGTAATAAATTACAGCGTTATGGAATCAAAGAACCATTGACCTGGGTAATTATCAATTAGATTGTCAAAAAACGTAAACTACTTTTGTTTTATAAAAATATTTTCTACATTTTCAGATTGTTCATCATCTATCAAACCGTACCAGTAAATTTTGTGGTGGTCATTTTTAAAAAATGAGGCAGTTTAGAATACCAAATAAATATTGTTTTTGATTTATGTAACAATTCTTTTATAACTTTGCAACTAGATGCCCAGTTACTTTATGAAACACATACAGCTCTAAAGCTTCAGGGAAACAAAAGACAAAGTTATATTAGATATTCAGCAAATAAAATAGAAATAGAATAAATATTTATATATTAGCTGTACCCTATTTTAAGTTCACATATATCGGAGACTGGACTGTTAAAACATTTATTCAACATAATAATTTTTTTTATTACAATAACATTAAATTATTATTGTATTATAGAGACGAATTACAATACAATACTTATTGTTATTGTAGTGGGTCATTACAATAGTTTTTTTTTTCCAGATATTTTTATTGTGTTATGACGATGTATTGCAATACAATATTTATTGTTATTGTATTATAGTAAATAAAATAATAATTAAAAGTTTAGAAATATATTTTTTATATAACTATGAATTGCCACTTTTGAAAGCGTGCTCACAAACAACAAAAGAAAAAATGTTACAACATTACTTTCACAAACGCATTTCTCAAAATATTTGTCAGTTATTTATATATTTATATAAGTATATTCATTAGGGTTATGACTTTATGACTTTTTTAAAAAAATAATAATTTCCTGTTTCATAAATCAATGAGCTTGGTACGCAACACTAAAAGTTCTTCCATCCGGATTTAATATACACCATCTTATCCATCTTATATGTATATATTCATACGCAATACTCATTTGAAAAGAACAATGCCCCTGTACCAAGTTGACCACCACAAAATAAAAGAACTAAAAATAAATTAGTTACCACCAAAAAATAATATTTCCCCACTTGTTCCCTGCAACATGCAAAGAGCAAACCGACCCCCCAAACTGACTCCCAGAACTGCAACCCTTCAAATGATGTGTTCACCTCAGCAACCCGGTAAAAACTGAGCAATGTGCAATCTCCGGTGATCCACCTACATCCCCATGGAAGGCTCCAGATGGAGCCAAAGAGCACCATCAGAAAGCCCCCGAATGCTCTGGAAGGTAGAACAGCCATACTGTGCACTATGGAACATTCCGGAAAACTTCGGACCACTCCAGAAAATTCTGGCCCACTCTTGAAAAACATGGAACATTCCAGAAAACTCTGGAAAACAATGAAACAGGTAACAGCAATCCATGGAACACAACAGAAACCGACGAAAATCACATCATAGGAAACACTCAACCCGTCCCCAGACCATTCCGACCTCCAGCAACCCCCGAGGTCACACCTGAGGTCATCTGCACCTCCACCCCCAGCAGCGAGGAACAACTCTGCACTTCACAAGGAACACTCTATCCAGACCCCCCAACCCAGAAATGGCCATTTGAAAGCCCCCAAGACCCCGGGCGGCCTCCAGCGATCTCCAAGGTCAACTTGACATGGCCTATGTCACTACCTGGATCATAGGGATCATCCATGCCAAATTTCAAGTTTCTAGGACCAACGGTTTGGCTGCCAACCAGGAACAAACAATCAAGCAATCAATCAGAATTGACAAATATATATAAGATAATATTTAAATGATAATATTTAAATGGTGCATTCAGTTTAAATTAGAAAGCAGTTTTCTATTTTCTACAAACAATGAATGAAGCCATTACTGCTAACAGATAGAATGGAATGTTTACTATTTTGAAAATGTTTTGTCATAACAATGATTGAAAATTTAAATTTAAAAATTGGAACTTGATTGAATTTTGAAAAATCAAAAGTTTTAATCCACAATATTGTTTTTAGTTTTTCACTCATCTTTTGTAAATAAAAGAAATATTCTTAATCTTTTTTTTTAACTATTATTTATTTTAAGTTAAATTAAAAACATTTCTGTTGTTGAAAATGTCCACAATCAAGCATGTTAATTCAACTCCAAAATAAAAACAAAGTTATGTAGTCATCTTTTAGTAAATGGTGATATTTCATTTTTTTTTATTTAATATCAAAGCTGCAGTAACATTTTTTCTGGTAGTTAGACAAATGCAATAACTAAAAAACCAAAGCCTTTTTGTCTGATTTCCCGGACTTCACATGAAAAAAATTCAAACAAAAAATTGTCCACCCTTTTCCTTGTACGAACTAGTACATTTTTGAGTGGCCCCTCCCCATACATGCGTGTGCTATTTATTGATGGCCCCATAGCGACCAATTTCCAACTCTGAATATCGCTCTCGAAAACTTGATACCGAGCGCTCATATCACATCGCACTTGTTGATAACGTATTTCCGTATTACAAGCACAATTTTATATATACATTATTATATAGATTATATATATACAGCATACATACATATATATATATATATATATATATATATATATATATATATATATATATATATATGTATGCTGTATATATATAATCTATATATATATAATCTATATATATATATATATATATATATATATTATATTATATTATATTATATTATATTATATATATAAATATATATATACACATATATATTATATATATTTATATATATATTGTTTATATATATATATATATATATATTATATTATATTATATATATAAATATATATATATATACACATATATATTTATATATATAATACATATATATTATATATATTTATATATATATATTGTTTATATATATATATATATATATATATATATATATAAATATATATATATATATATATATATATATATATATATATACACATATATATTTATATATATAATACATATATATTATATATATATTGTTTATATATATATATATATATATATATATATATATATATATATATATATATATACACATATATATTTATATATATAATACATATATATTATATATATTTATATATATATTGTTTATATATATATATATATATATATATATATATATATATATATATATATATATATATATATATATATATATATATATATATGTGTGTGTGTGTGGTGAAATTAATTTTTTTACTCTTTTTTTTAGTTTGATAAGCTAGATCAAGATTTGAAAACATATAAAAATAATTCAATAAAAGAAAGTATTCGGTAATTAGATTTTTATATACATATTTTGTTTTAATATGTTATTTTATAGACACTATTAATTAATTAAGTAATTTGATTAAATACATTAAATTTTTATTGCACCAGAAAGTAAGCTGGCAATATATGAAAAAATGATATCTTTCACTATGGGATACTCTTTAGCATGCTAATGTAGTGTAAACATGCTGAATCATTATGAATGATTTAATTCATCACAAGTCATCACAAACCATTTTATATTATTTTATTTTTTGTTTGTCAGAATTTTTACTGACTAGTTGGAAATTAGTTTGACAAAATAATTTATATTCAATTTATAAAATTATATATTTAAATTAGTTTATGTTTATATTTGTGATAACATTTTGTTATTATACATTTAAAAAATCTAATTCCAAGCAAATTTTTTAAAATTCTAATATATTATAATCTTTTATTTATTCTAGAATGCCAAATGTTACAGAGTTAAGGCCTCATGAACTAAAAATAATTTATGAACAAAGATAAGCTATTGCAGAGTATCGCCAATGTTTTCTATATTTCAATAGAAGGTGTAAATAAAATTTGAAAAATTTTTCTAGGACTCAAACCACTCTTTCTTTACCACAAAGTGGCTGAAAACAAAAGACAAAACCTAATCTAGACCAATTGATTTCTACTGAGGCAAAAAAAAAAGATATTTATTTCACCACAAAAGCTGAAAGAAGTTTTAAATTCATCTAATCCAGATTGAATGTAGCTAAATTATATTGCTGTGCAGCTGGAGGAAATAATTTGTTTTAAAAATTAATGCCACTACAGCGCCTAAAGTTTGCCAGAAAACATGTTAATCAAATTCTCATTAAAGATCATGTGAAGTACATAAAAGTACTGTATTTATACCTACAGTATAACATGGTGGAGACTCTGTTATGGTTTTAGGCTATTTTTCTAGTGATGATGAAAGTAAATTATAATTTATTGATTGTAAGTTAACTCCTCAAAGGCCATGTTAGTGTATTAAAAAGTAAATTAACAGATTCAGGCAATCAATTAGGATTACATCTTTCAACAGGGTAATGATTCCAAACATACTGTCAAAGTTACAAAGAAATTTTTGTAGAAAGCATTAATTTGTTACCACTGCCACCTCAGAGCCCTGACTTCTAGAGAACATCTTTGGGATAAATTGGACTGCAAGATACCCCAAAATGTAAGAGGTTCAAAAACTTATTTCAAAGGAAATGCCCCAGTAGAAAGAATACAAAATAGAGCTCTGCAGAGGAAATGCCTCAATAAAAATTAAAAAGATGATTTGATAGTAAGCATAACTGATCGCTTGAAGTCATCAATAGGCTTTTAAATTCATTATTAATCTCTTTTTAATATTTATAAAACATTTTTTCTATAATTTTTCTTTTTGTCAACTTTCTTTCTGATTGTGTTATTTAGGACCTAAATGTATTTTAGGTTTGCAGTATTAATTTTATATGTAATTACCACTTAAAAATAGTTTATTATTGCATAGAATAAACATATTTCACATACAGAAAAATAACATCAATAATCTGTTTATTTTATCTTTTTAATAAATCTTTTTAATAATAAAAAGTTTTTAATAAATCTAATTATCTTACAGACGAGGTCATGATGATTTAGGTGATCATTGTCTTGATTGTGGTGATTTAAGGTAAGCTTATTTTACTACAAATAACTCATAAAACATTGTCAATTGTTTAGAAGAAACAAAATAAAAATTTTAATACTAGATATAGAGTAGTATAAACAGTTTTGTCTTTTTAAAACTTTGTATTTAATTTATTTTTAAATGTCTATTAAAAATTAATTTTTTATTCTATCCTTTTCTATTTGTTCTTTTCTTATGTGTTTAGTTAACATTTGTTTTAAAATTCTGTTGAAAAGAAATTAAAAATAATTGTTTATTAATTAATTAA